GTGGTTTAAGGTTGAGGGTGTTCTATAGGTTTGTGCCTATGAGGATAGTTAGCTGGAATGTTAGGGGTTTAGGGAGTGCAAGGAAAAGGAGGGTGATTAAGGGCTTATTTAAAAGGGAAAGGCCTGACATTGTTATGTTGCAAGAAACAAAGTTGTCAGAGCTGGATAGAAGATGGATGAGGAGTGTGTGGAGGTCTAGAGGAGTAGGATGGATTTCAGCCCCATCTTGGGAGCCTCAGGGGGGATTGTCACACTTTGGAAAGATGATGTAGTAGAGGTAGTGGAGGAGTTAATAAGGAGATTCTCAGTTTCCATCAAATTTAAGAATGTAGAGGATGACTTCACTTGGGTGTTAACTAATGTCTACGGTCCCAATAATTATAGAGAAAGGAATGACATGTAGGAGGAACTGTATGCAATTCAAGGTTTATGGGAATGTCCATGTTGTTTGGAAGGGGATTTTAATGTGATAAGATTTTCTGAAGAAACTAATAACTCCCAACAAACYATCACAACTAGCATGAGAAAGTTTWATAGCTTTATTGCTGATTGTGAGTTAAAGGAGATCCCACTAGTGCAAGCTCGATTTACTTGGTCTAACTTACAGGAAGTGTCCTTGTGGTCGAAGTTGGATAGGTTTATCTTTAATGTTGATTGGGAGAACTGTTGGGGAAACTTGGTGTCTAGAGATTTGCCTAGGGTGACCTCGGATCATTGTCCTATAAGAATAGGTGTGGAAGATTTTATCAGTGGACCTAGACCCTTTAGGTTTCAAAACATGTGGCTAACCCACCCGGATTTTGTGAATAAAGTAAAATTTTGGTGGATTGAGGAATTGAGGGGGACAAAATGGAAAAGGGTAAGATTTCACAAGAAACTACAGAGGATAAGAGCCAAAATAAAAGTTTGGAACAAGGAACATTTTGGAAGACTTGAGGAGCAAAAAGTGAATCTAATCTCTAGGATAGAAGAGTTGGATGAAAGAGAGGCTCAATCTAGAATAGAGGAGGGGGAGAGAGTTCTGAGGGGACAGTTGAAGAAGGACTTAGAAGAGGTCCTACTGAGGGAAGAAATAAGTTGGAGGCAGAAATCGAGGCATAGATGGATTAAGGAAGGTGATGGGAATACTAAGTTTTTTCATGATG